GGGGGGTGGGGGGAGGAGGGGCAGTTGAGTGAGCGGCCACGGGGCTGTTCCTATGTTGTGCTGGCCCAAACCATGACAGACAGGCAAGGTCAGACCAAGAAGGCACCTCATTACAGCTACATAAATACGAAGAGGAAAAAAAATTAAAACCTATGAACTGCAACCAGTTCTGTTGCTTCAGCAACAGTCTTACACAGGTTTTGTTTAAAACCCTGCCGAAGAAAAATACGAATGAGAAGTGCATGTGTATTACAGGAAGTTTAATTGTCCTGAAAACAAAGGAGCAACAAAAAGGACAGGCTGGAAGGTCAGAAGCCCCTTCAACTCTCTTGCAAATCTGAGCAGTGAGGAAGTATTGCCTGATGAGAGTTTGAATCACATGGCTTAGGTAACAATGCACTACTTTGAGGAATATTTTTTTCAACGTTTAACCATTTAGTTACCAAGAATGTTCTTACATAGTAGAGTGTGAGTGTATATATGCATTCCTCTATGCATCTTTAAAATACTTGGATTATTCCATTGCCTATAAAACTTTGTTTCTAAAATAGCTCTTGCCTATCTATGTGTCTATGAAGAAACTTAGTACACTTTTAAAACAGAGGCCCTTTCCTCTCTTCCACCAACTTACTGCTCATAACACTGTGAAAAAGGAAAGACATTTCAAACCCCCAGAGTTTTGAAGTAGCTCTCAGATTTAAACTTATCTGTTTAGAAGTAACTATAGTGACTGAACACTTGTAGTAAATTAAAATTTTATTAAGCCTTCTCATTTGATCAAGCAGCAAGGCCACTTTATGTGCTTAACTTCAGGAGAGGGTACAGCAAACAAGAGGATAAGTCTGTGAATGACTTTACTGTTCTACTGTCAGAAGCTTCCCAGTAATTGCACAGAACGTCCCCAGTTCCACCATGACGTAACAACTCAAGCACAATGCTTATAGTTTATATGTGAGCTGTGTTTGGTAAGGTGTTTACCCCCTCTTCCCTCCAAGCATAAATTTCCAAAGAGAACTCCTGCCTTCAGAATCAGACATCCCTTGCACCTCATATATTCAAACTTATCACCCAATATGTTATATATACACTATTTAGTTACATACATATTAAATATTGCTTCAATGTCACAGCCAGCTGTATCTTCTAGTACTTCCACATAAACTACAAATCTTTCTCTGTACGTGCATAAATGCCCACCATCATTACTACAAAAAATGGGCTTAGAAAACAAAGATCTCCAAAAGCTGTATATTGCTGGGATATTCCTTCTCTTCAAACTTCCCCACATCCAGTGGAAACAGATGAGAGCATATTCAGCATATTGCTTATCTAGGTCCTGACCAAACTTTCCTCAAAAATTCAGTATGTTTTGTGAAATGCAGGATGGTTCATTGAACTTCTGGACACTTATGACTGAGCAAAAGCTGTAACAGCCTCTGAACTACTTACCAAAAGCAGCCTCTCCTTCTTCAAGTTCTTGTTTCAGTCTGGTGTAATCATCTTTTATTCTTTCCAATTTTCGGACATTTCTGGCACTCAGAACCAACAGTTCACTGAGAAGCCCTTCCAGTCCAACCTTCTCAGATGTTAATGATCTTATTTCTTCTGTCAAATCCTTCGCAGCACCAAAATTACTACCTGCATGTTTTGTGGGGGCAGAGGGAAGAAAGAAATTAAAGAAATGAAGCAGACACTTGAAACATCAGTAGGTTATACAGCAAACAAGGGACATTAAGCAACTATACTTCTCAAAAGCAACTTTTCTGAAGATCCACACTTCAGAAAATGCCATACTGTAATTCATTGATCATTGTGATGAGCTCTGTCAGACCATTTTCTCATTTCAGAGGATACCCTAACTCACAATACTTTTGAAATAGATGCTATCAATCTGCTAGACCCTGAAATATTTCAACCTTGAACCAAATAGCACTATGTTGGTTATAACAAGCATCAGAACATTGTTTATAAATGACATGTTGTATTGCCTAGATGGCATGCACCCCATGTAAAGACCATCAGAAGATGTTCTTCTGAGAGAACATATGTAAAAATCACAACTCTGCACTTCTGGCTTTCCCTGAAGCATGAAACCTCAGAGACAGGCATAATATCTCAGTATCACCAGTTAGCATTGCTCTGGAGTTTTTAAAAATGTTTGGCTCCCTTGGACAGGGATTCAGAGTCAAAAGTTCAATTTACAAGCAGTTTACAGTGTAGCCCAGAACATTTGCCTATTTAACCTTTCTAAAAAATGTTTTTCTAAGAAGCTGGAGAGGAACAATTTTTTACTTCAGAGAGGTCTTAAGTATAAACAGACACTGATAGTGAGATGCTGAGCTATTACATTATTTCAAATAGCAGTAGAGGACAATGCTACATTTATACACTGTACTGGTGTCTTTTCAATGATTCAGCTACATGGCTGAAGGGAAAAAAACACAACAACAAACCAACAACAACACAGAAAAATAAATTAAAAACCCACAAAAAAACCCCTACAAAAACCCACTTAAATCTGTAGAATACTTGACAAAAATAATTTACATGTAGATTCGCCCAATATAAGATGAAAGATCTCTAGCAAAAGATCTAAACTCCAGCATCATCTTAACTTAGCAAAATTTGAGTGGTATGATCTAACAAGTAAAGGCATCTATTAAATAAAGGCACTTCCAAAATTTAGCCTTGAAGCAAGTATTAATGTAAAGCACATCCACACACATGTCTTTTAACTTCTGAAGTATGTGCAATGGCCTTAGAATCCTGAAATAACTTTATAATACCACCAGCATTATTCAGCTATAAAGATGCCCCTTGGCTTTTGTTTCAGGAATATAATAAACTGTTGCTTATACAGAAAAGATAAATTTAAAAGTTTATTTTAGAAAATTAAGATATAAATCAAAACATCAAATCCACATCAGAGAATCCTAAATTGTGGCATTACATCCTTTTTACCTGGTCTCTCAAGTGTTGGTCATAGAGTCTTAACCAGGAATGGTTTAGCTGCTCTTCAGTTCTTTCAGGACAGGGGACCAAAAATGGGACACAAGTGTTTACACTGGTTGGAACACAGCAAACCACCAACAACTCTTGAGAGCATCTCTGCTCCTCCAGAGCATAACAGTGAATGGAAGTCCTTCCAATAAATATTCACAACCATCCTCCTGAAGGAGAGATGCTGCTTCAAGCTTAAATGGACATATGAGGACAGGTGTGCCAAAGAAAAATTGTGCTTTTCAAATTTTTTTGAAAAGACTATATCAAATAAATCAGGCTCAAATACTGAACATTGCTAAGTACAGTAACCTTATGCTTGTTTGTTGGTTTGGCTTTTTTTAAATACTTAGGCTACAGTATTTTCAGTCAACCTATTTTCCTTGATTAAATCTTAGCCTTTTGGTCTTTTTTTAAGAGTTCAAAACTCCCTTATTTCTAATTCTCGGCAAATGTTCATCAGTTATATCTTACAAAGAATTATACAACTGAGTCACTATAAATATCCTTTACAAATAGTAGGATCTTTATGGTTTACCAGTGCATTTCTTGAGAGACTACAGCATAAACTTTATTAACTTAATCTGTCACGTTTCCCAAAGAGTAAAACACAGCAGCAAGATAAGCAAGACAAAAATCACTAGGAAAATGGCAGACTTACAATTTAACAGTGCACCTTTACGTCACCTGAACTCATCCCAAGCATCAATGCACAAGAGCCTTAATAAAACATGAAGGCAAAAGATACTTCATCAGAATCTGGAGCCTGCTCTTGCATTTCTGAAGACTGCATTGAAAAAAGGTATGATAATACATATGAAAGTTTTACAGACATTGAATGGATCCTATATTCCCAGAGGGAAACTTTCTATCAAAACTGAGGGTATGAGGAAACGGCATCAGATATATATATCCAAAAGCCAAAATTGTCTGCTGCAGGTCCACCTTGACAGCAGAAATGTCTGGAATCATGCAATGAAAATTCAGAACAACGTATACAAATGCAAGCACCACAAGTGCCATTGGTGACCTCAATCACAGCAACCAAAATAACTGCTTTCTAAATGCTGTAAGAAGGCTGATTTAAAAATTAGTATATAATCCCTAGCTGTCAGCTTTAAAAAACATTCCTTCCTGGGGTTTTTGTTTGTTAAGGGACAAAGTCACATTGAATGCCATAGAAACATTCTGAAGATGTGTCAAAATGTTTTATCCTGCTAATGCCCCAAAAATGTTAAAATTCCTCTTTTTGATGAGAAAATAATTACTTTGCCTGAGTGAACACAGTAACTGCTACTTTGTCAACCACTCAGAGCTATGTTTTATATAGTCATACCATTGGGAGAACTCTACTGGGGTGTTATTAGATAAGGTCAGTCCTAACTCTTCCCAGGAAACTCAGAGATCACTGAAGCTAACAAGACTGATCCCTCAAAAAATCTGTAGAGACAGCAAAACTAAGAAATTAATAGTCTAAGATCAAAGTTGAGATTGTGGTCTAAAACAAAGCATGAGACAGGGCTTCTATGAAGGGGACTGAAGGGCAAAATGCTACTTTTCTCATCCTTCCCCCCATCTTGCAGTGATGCCTACTAGCAATGTGCAATTCCAGCCACTGCATGTATGTTCATGTAAACATACTGGGCACAAACTGGAACACCCAATGGGAAAGCTCTCAAGTTCAGAAACTGTTTATAAATATGTAAGCTATAAAGTCTTTTGCTTGATCAGGATCTTAAATCTATTCCATTTCAACTTGAATAAATACATGAACTTAGCAGTACATAAATAAAATGGGGAGAAGGGGGACGGAAGGAGTAACGATGTAAAGTTGGAATTATAATAAAAACCAAAATAATTCACATTAACTTGGCCAAACTGATTATACTCCTACAAGTAAAACACTTCAATATTTTCACTTTCCAGATAATTTGAAGTATCCAGTGCTCTCAACAGGCTGAACATGCTTGCAGTACACTGTCCTGTGTCTGCAGGAGCTGAGTTGGTACACTTACCTCTGAGGTGCTGAACCTTACCATTATCTTAAAAGACAGCAATGAAAACTCAAGTTTAAACTTCCTCCTAAATCTTGCCGTCTGGGACTCTCTCCTCACATACACCCTTCATCCCCTGCTTTCTATGATATTGACATCAGGTAAGCTCCAAAGGCTTTAAGTGAAGGCCAGAAATACCAACCAAATCTAGCAAACCAACCCGAATTGGAAAAATAAAGAAAATGATCCCTGGCATTTGCTCACTATAAACATAAATAGTATCTTTATATTCCTCTCTTTCCAAAATTTTGCTTGTATGGCTATATACTACACCTGAATACAACTTTATATTTATACGTAGTTAAACACCACAACCTCTTGTCTACTATAACAGCTCATTGTCAGATTTTACAATCTTGGGCAGATTGTTACCCATTGAGTGGCCTCTAACATTTCATTATTTTCGTACCATTTGCAGTAACAAATTGACTAAAAATATGGTTTGAAATTTGTCCCATTTAGTAAAGCCAACCTCTTTTGTACTCCCACTTTTTCTCATATTTACTCCAGAAATTACATAGGCTCATAGTTTCCTTTATCCACACTCAAAGCAAAGAGGTACATCCCATCCCTACTGAAATTATGTTCACTGTTGTACAAACACAACAATGAAGCATATAAACTGGACATTAGCAAGAAGGTAGGAAAGAATAGACTGGGCATTATTTATCATTATCTGTAAGCTAATTCTTCATAGACTAGCACTACCTTTAATAATACATAAGAAAGTGAAAATTTACATTTTAGCTTAGGGCATTTGCCACCATGGTATTTATCAATGGCACTTGAACAACAGGCTGAAAATCCTCCACCTTGTGATTAATGAGAATACAAACCGATTCTAACACCAGAAAACAAAGTGAGAAAAAGAAGTATCATACAGCTGCTCACAAAGAAAAGAGTAATGCTAAAAACACTACAGAAATTTCAGATTTTGGAAGCACTGCCAGTGTTTGCACCTCTGAAAAAAAACAAATAGCAAATGAGGGACAGTCTATTATCTCCTGAAACATTTTATAGAAATTCCAGCATATCTGAATCACAATTATTGTTAAGCAGTAACACATGCCAACACTTTGATGAAGCTTAATGCAACTGAATGATTGATGTGATCCTGAAAGATATAGTATTAAAATTCACCAAGAAGCAGGCAAGAAACCCAAAGACATACTTTTGGAGGAGGAGAGCTCTGCCACAGAAAGCCTCTTGTTCCTGGACTGAATCAGTCACCACAGAGCAACCAAGGAATCAAAAAAACCCCAACAAACAAAGACCACAATAAAATTTTAAATCAGAAATAACAACTCAAAGGCTCAAGTTAAATTTTTAAGGCAGAGATTTGGAAGATGACAAGTTAGCAATATGAAGACACAACCTGTTCCAAGGAGCAATAGTTACTGGTGACTGCCACACGACCAGATGCTCTCTCAAATGCCTGCACTGGGGTTGACAAGTGTAGCCCAGGAGCACATTACTCCCAGGTCAGGAAAGAAAACCAGAGAAGGATCAGGGAGAGAAATATTTGTGCCACCTAGGTTTAGGCACCAAAAGTGCATGCACTGAGATTTAGAGGTTTGTCA